GTTGCTTACGATAGAGCTCGTCATCTCATAGTCAAAACCGCATCATTTAAATTTTTTCCTAGTAAATTTCCTTTTATACTTGAACCTAACAAAAAAAACGTCCGATGCGCTCTCTCTTCCATGGCCTGATCTACTTTCAATCGAAGAGCCTGTACAACCTTACCATGTGCTTACTCGATCAAAAACATCATCTGAAATACCGATCGATTCACCAATTAGTGTTCCTGTAAATCAACATCAAACTATTGAACCTATTGAAGTACCTTCATCTAAGATCAAAATAGATATTTCTGAACCATCATCTTTGGTACCAATCGAACCAACTGTACCTTTACCTATCGATTCTGCTCCTTCTGACGACTCATCTACTTCTTCTTCTACTCCTGTTACAATTCCAGTTTTACGACGAGGTACTAGAGTAAGGAAAGAACCCGAACGTTTTACACCTTCTGCTTTTGTTCTTGACACTTCTTCACCCGAACCTAAGTCCTACCGAAAAGCAATTGATAGCGAAGAAGCCTCACAATGGAAAGCAGCAGCAGAAACTGAAATCGACACGCTTCGAAAGTTAGGGACTTGGAAATTAGTACCAAGGCCATCTAATAGAAAAGTTTTAAGGTCTATGTGGGTGTTTAAAAGAAAGTTGTTACCTTCAGGTGAAATTGATAAGTACAAGGGAAGACTGGTGGTTTTAGGTAGTGGTCAAATTCCGGGTATTGATTTCAATGATGTATTCTCACCAGCTTCAAGGCAGGAATCAAATTGGGTGGTGTTGACAGTTGCTGGAGTAAGAAAGTGGAAAGTAAAAGGTTTTGACATCACTGCAGCGTTCTTACATGGTAATCGATTGGAAGAGGATGTTTTCATGGAACAACCAGAAGGATTCAGAGACAAAAAATTTCCAGAATATGTTTGTCATCTGATTTTACCTCTCTATGGTTTACATCAGTCTGCAAGGAACTGGAACAATAAGTTCACTACTTCTCTGATTGGTATGGGTCTACAGCAATCCTCTCATGACCCTACCCTGTTCTTTAAACTGGTCAACAACGTTCTTGTGGGTTTAATTACGGTTCACATTGATGACATTTCAGTTACCGGTGAAGATGATTTTCTTTCTTCTATTTCAACTGCTCTTCATTCAAAATTTCCCATATCTGCTGAAACAGATCTAGAACATCACCTATCAATTTCAATAGATCGTTCAGAAGATCTAAGTTACTTTACTCTTCAACAGACGGCGTACATTGTAAAAATAACAAAGCAATTTTTTAGTGAAGAACCGATTCATGTTTCAACTCCTTATGTATCAAATTTTAGTTCTCTTGTTCCTGCAATTGATAATTCAAAAGCAAATTCAAAATATCGTTCAATTATTGGTGCTTTACTATGGCTAGCTCAATGCACTCGTCCGGACATAGCCTTTGCGGTCAATCAATTGTCTCAATTTTTAAAGAACAACAACTCTGATCACTGGAATGCTGCATTGCGGGTTTTAGCTTACACTTATCACACTCGACATCTGGGTCTTACATTGGGTGGTTCTGATAATAAACTTCAAGGATTCACAGACTCAGATTGGGCGGAAAACCTTCATGATCGATCTTCTACTTCAGGTTATTTATTTAGATTGGGAAATGGTTTTATCTCTTGGAAGTCAAGGAAGCAAAAGACTACTGCTTTGTCAAGTACAGAAGCTGAGTACATGGCTTTAAGTGATGCTGGTAGAGAAGCTATGTGGTTACGACAATTACTTCAAGAGATCCGTTTTATTGACAACTCTCCTACAATTATTCATTACGACAACACAGGTTCAGCGGCTCTTGCAAACAATCCTATTCATCATTCTCGTAGTAAACACATAGACTTGCGCTATCATTTTATTCGCCAACTAATCAAAGACAAAAATGTAATTCTAAAACAGGTCAATACTTCTTTTCAACTTGCAGATTTCTTAACCAAAGCTCTTTCTCGACCTATGTTCATCAATTTACGCAATCAATTAGGTTTCAAAGATTGTTCTACACATTTATGATGGACTTTTTCAGCATGGGGGGGTGTTGGATTTATTTGTGCTTCAAATGTCTTATTCATTCTTAATGTATTTCTCATAAATGTATTTCTGATCTTGACCATTCTCGTTGTTCTCATTTTGACTACATTACATCATATAGCCAAATGAGGAACATTACGTCAATGATCTTATGACGTCATTCATTGTATTTCATTTTTTGTTTTCTTTATAACCTGATGCTTAACACCAGTCTGATAGATTTCTCTTTTTCTCATCTGACTGTTTCTTTACAAAATCTTATTATAAGATTGTCGTGTTTGTTTCTCTTTATCCTATACTAAGATTTCTGTTTTGTGTTTGGATTCAGGTAATAAAGAATTTGATCTGACTGTTTCTTTACAAAATCTTATTATAAGATTGTCGTGTTTGTTTCTCTTTATCTTATACTAAGATTTCTGTTTTGTGTTTGGATTCAGTCCAACATTGACTCATTAATCAATCCACTGTTATACCTCTTTACCGAATCTGACTATGCAAGACGTTTACAGATCTCCAAGTACACTTAGGCTTAACTCAAAAATTTAATGACTTGTCTCCATCACATTGGTCGCTTCATATTCTCATAATCGAGCTGCCTATCAAGCTAGTACTGCTTGCCTGGTCAAATTACCACTTGACACCTGTAAGATGATTTGAGACATTCCGATATATGCCTTGTAAGCTTGCATTCGACCTTTAATTCATGCTCCTAAGTGTGAGTGCAACATCTCTCGATGAAGTCCGGTCAATCTCTTTGCCAAAGCTCTGTGAGATGACATCTATCTTCCAGTCTTGGATGAGCATTGGTGGTGATGTTTTTTCTTCTCTCAAGGCATGCGCGAAGTGGTGTAATTCTTTTTTTCGCTGCTCAACCGCTGTGTACTCGTAGTCTACGGTTACTACGGCCGCTACGGTACGGCTCACTACGGGGCAACCGTACTGTAGTACAAATATTGGCCAAGAATACCCTTGACTTCAATACGATGACGGTGAGGTTTTAAGGTTAGACCGTACCGTACCATTGCCTGGACCAAAGTCCACTTCACTGCGGTACGGTTTGAGTGTTGCTTCAGTTCCAAGCATTTTCGTGTCAATTGCATCAGTAACGAGATGGCCGTTGGGTTCGTGAGCAAGAACCAGTGTAGCTTGGGATTTGTGCCACACAAATAATCCGGGATTGATAGGAACAGACTATGACAGAAAGTGAGTAAAGCAATATATGTGGCCCAAATTGAATTGAATGACTCACGACACTGGTAACAGCCACCGTGGCATTGATAATCAGGGGAAGTGACATAGTGTTAATAATGAGAAACCGGATTTGAATGGCACCAGATATGCACTTTTGAAGAATTGTGACTTTATGATGATATCAATGTCAAGACGTGTTTGACTCAGCTTATATAGCCAAGCTCCTTGGCTATACGGTTTGAAAACTCTGAAGTAGCATGCCAAAAGCAATGTGATTGTTTTGGAAAGTATGATTCAAGGTGCCATGCGATTTCTCTTCCATCAATGATTGTTGCTTTTGGCTATAGATGGCCTCTAGCAAAGCGTATGCGGGTTTGTTTCAAAACACCGACTCATTGTGATAATTGTTGGATGGCTCCAATGGTAGGCCAAATGAACATGTATGGCGCATTGCAGCTGAAGCGTCCATGAAAGGTGAGCATGGGTATTGTTTGAAACACTGGAAAGCCGTGGCAATCAAATCATTCTCATGGTTTGTTGGTGTAGAGATTCAGATCGGGAGGAATGTGCCCCTTTCCATATTTGCGTTCTTTGGATATGTGTGAGGAAGCAGTGGAGATGACAATATGTTGTCGGGTCATAGAAACATCTTCAGTGGTCACACTGGAATTGTAGCCTGCGCCTAAAAGAAGAAGTACTATGTATAGTGCTTTAAAAAGATATGTGTAGCTTTACACATATCTGAAATTGGTTGTCAAGTAAATTTGTGGAAAGTCAAGTTATTTGTTGGGATTGAGAGTTAATTTTGGAGTTTATGAGTTTTGTACAGGTTTTCAGATTAGTTTACGAGTTTCGGGTTGCAGGGTTGCTCACGTACACCGTAGGCCTCCGTATATAAGTTCACTTACGAATTGTCAATCATAATAAATCAATGATCAAGAGTTTTGTTCTTTCTCAATTCAGATTCTAATCGACTCGCAATTTATCTACCTTCTTGATTCAAAACATTATTTAAAGAAAATGTGATCCTTTGATACCTGCTTCGTATTGGTTTGACTATGATTCCGTAGAGATTGCTGACTGATGGTGGTTATCGTAAGGGCATTGGTGTGGGCTTGTGTAACGTATTACAACGGGCTTCAAGAGATTGTTGAGGGTTTGTATCCTGACTAACGCGGACTCCACGCTCATGATACATACATGATTCATCTTGCCTCATGAGCTGATTGATGGAGACAGGTTAAGCGGTACATAGACAGCTACGTCGCGACGAGACAACTACGGAGTAAAGAAATTCTCTAAAGCTGAATCAAGGCCATGGTAAACGCTAGATATGATTAGTTACGACGGCTCGCAAGGCAAGTTTGTTTCGAGATCATTTTTTTTCTCTTTGAAGCCTTCACAACCAAACGAATTTCAAGATTTGAAAATCAAGATTGGAAATGAAATCACATACGCCTTGCTCAGAATAATCAAACCCCTTTGAGATTTGTCAGAGCATGGTATATATATAAAGGTGTTGTCGAGCTTCGATATAACGTTTATCCATCCCTTATTTTTTCTCGATTCTATTACTTCCATCTAACGTAATTTGCTTACTATTTGTTTTTATAAATACTTTGTATACATATTTACTTACTTACTTACCTTTATCAGTTTATTTCCGGCGTTTGCTTTTTTGTGTACCAGTCTTTGTTGAATCTTTTCATCTTGTGTTCATACCAATTGTTAAAAGTTATCTTCCAAGACCTTCATCATGCTTATTCAAATCACTTTACTTCCTGCTTTTATTCTTGCTCTTGCTACTTCTGTTATCTCATCATCGGCAACAGAGAAACCAATGGAAAAATCTGCTGTAAGTTTTTTTTCTTTTCGCTTCTTTGATATGATTTCTTGTCAAGTTGAAACATGATAGACTGATTTTTTTAATCTTTTATAAAAACAGATTGGTATTTCTACTCGATCACAGAAACCTTTAGCTCGTTGTCCTTCTATATCTACCGAAGGAGAAACAATTTCCATACCAACTCGTCAAAACGATTCTAGAAATACAAAATTATCTTATATCACAAACAACGTGAGTTTATTTTCACTCTCTTCCCTATGAATGATCAAGACAGTCTTTAATTTTCTTTTCTTTATTTTTTAGAAAAAATCGCAAGAACATCATGGAATTCAAAACAAACCTTCCAAAAAATTAGCAAGTTTAAATCCAACTTTTCAAATTAATATGATCAATCAAAAATCAGAACTTTTGAAAATCTTATATGAACTTAATGGAGAAAATTTAAAGTCTGATCAAAGGGGAATCCATCAAGAATCATTTACATTAACTCGTAAACCTAGAGATGTGACTACTCACGTTCTTGGAGTTCCTGTTACGTAAGTTATTTATTATCTTCTTGTTATATCAATCGATTTTGGATTGATTTTTTTGGTTAATTTTTGTAGAATTCGTGGATTCTCGTCAAAGAAACTTAAACTTGCTATCGCTTAAAAAATGTGACTTTTTTCATAATCTCAAACGTAGGGGGATGTGGTTTCTTTTTTCATATATTCTTGCGGGATTTCCGTTACTCTGTCTTTCCATAAAACTCGTGTCTATAAAATGTTTTCATAAACTTGAAATTTTTACCACTTTCAGTCAGAAAGGACTTTTGATCATATCTCAGTTATGAACAAATCGATTCTTGGATCAATAATCATGGTGCTTGAATTCAGATAGATATTCTTGTCGAGTCTGAAGGTTTGAGCTCGGTTTTCCACTTTGCTTAACAAAGTGGTTTGATTGTAGACCAAATTATCCAAAAAAGATTGACGGGATGAGATCTTCCTTTGAAGCCATGATCAAAACAAGCCTTATTCAAGAGTCTACTACCAAATTCTGAAATTAAACTTATCACTAAACTGATAGAGCTATCAAAACCCTTATGAGCTTTTTTTTACCTTGAATGGCAATTAAACTTTTTTTGATCTTCTTGGTGACTCTATACTGAGCATACTTTGCGTATTCAAGAGTCTTTCAGCCCACAATTTAAAGAAACACAAAAGTGTTTTGTTAGTTTTTTGCATGATAACGGATAACTATCATTTGTAACCACTTGGGGACATATGCGTGATTGGATCAGCCATCATCATAGAAGACAAAAATCTGGCGACAGTATGTGATGGGTAGCTTGCAATCTTGCCACCTCAAAAATTTTTGTAGGAAAGCATCAGGCCAAGGTCTTTGCTTCTTCTCATGACTGCTCACAATTGAGTAAACGATGGCGCGTCTGAAAGCAGCAGATTGATTATGAAAGCGAAGAGCGGAATGAGATCACCAGTGCCTGGCTCCGGCATGATTGAAGCCATCTCTCCATGCAACCGGACCACTTGGTGTACCTGGATTCTGTATCCGACCATCGGCGAGAACATTGAGACAAGGACAACTGTTCGAGATGGCGAACGCGGGATGGCGTCCTGGATCAATCACAGTTTTGGGTATAAAATGCCGACTCACATTTCGATTTCTTTACTGTTCATCAATTCACAATCCTCTCAACTTTCAAAAACAACTTTCCAAAGATCACCTTATTTCCTTTGATAGTCATCCACCAATTTGACCTTCATCTCCATTCTCTCTATCTTTCCTTCTGTTATAACTTAGGTTGATATTCAAATCCACTCCTAAGAAGATATTTCTTGCAAATTAACTTTGATCAAATCTATATCACATCTTTAAATTCATTCATCTCTTTCTCCTATTTTCAATCCTTCATTTTTTCTTTCTTATCAACATAAATGGAGAACTTTGTTTTTGAAAGAGAGTTATATGTAGCCAGTAACTTTCCATCAATGGCTCATTTCACTCCACTTCGTCGACAACGAACCGCAGCAAGATATCTCTTCGCATCACGAGAAACTCTGAGAACCATCATGACATCAGAGCCCAAATACCAACACCTCCGTTTACCTTTTATTGGTCATACAAACGCTCTAGAAGAAAGCGAACCGATTGAGGCTCCAAGGACTCCATCAAGATCTAATCGGAAGAATTATTTTAAACCTTTTGAATCTAGTCCGCTTGCAAACTTTATGAAGGAGGTTGAGATTGAGACTACAGGGGATTCATTCTTTATGTCCCTTGATAGTGATACGTCTTTTCTCATGTAAGTTTTTACAAAACCTATCTCTCTAATTTTTTTAAAATATCTTCTCACTCGATCTCTTTTTATATGTTTTGGATCACAGAGACGAGAGGGAGATGTCGGATGAGTCAAATGAGTCAGAAGGATCAAGCAACTTCTTCAATGATTTTGAAAGACCTCCAATCAACTGATCTTCTTCGTCAAATACCCACTCCACCACTTCGGAGTCCTCAAGTTCTATAGCAAACGGGTAAAAGAGGTTTGGATGAACAATCTATCGAACCTCAAAGAAGATTGTTTAAATCTCGTTGGGAGGAGTTTCTATACATTTGTTGCATTTGATCTTGAAGATATCTGATTTATGTTGTGTCATGTTTAGACGTTTATGTTGTAACACATTTCCTTTTTTTAATACGCTTGTTTTTCGCTACTTAATTTTATTTCAGCCTTTTTTATTTCTACATCCCTAATATTGTCACCCCTCTTGTAAAGTGTGGGACGTGCGAACCGCTATTAGCACGCTTCATATAAAGTCATTCTTGCCTCTCGAAGCACAGAAGCTTGGAAATATCCACATCTTTATCTATCTATGAGTGAGCCTTAACCGCGTCTTGAGGAGAGTAAATGCTAGCTACCCGCATCACATGTTTCAACAATGTCAAAAACCTTTTGATGTTGTACCATAAAAGTCTTGGAAGAAAATAATAACTTGAAGGTTTCCCAATTTCATATTTATATTCCTATTTACCAGGTCATCACATCATGGTCTGATAAATATCAACTTTGCGCAAGCCGTGTTCAACCACCGTTTGGGACTCAGTCCAGAAGACCCGACAATCTTTGGGAATGGGGTCGGTCTCAGTGTCGGATACCCTGAAGCTCGTGGGCTCGGTGGCAATCGGGGCATCTATGATCTGTAATTGACCTAAACAAGAATCAAAGGAACATCTTCAATTTCAAAAATTTCAACTTCAACTTCAACTTCAAATCGATTTCGACTTTTTAACAACAAGAATCAAGATGGACTCCAAACTCGATGGCGCAGCTCAGGTAAGAATGACCCAAAAAACCAAGCTTACAAACCGATTTAATCATAAGCAACTTACTCACATCTAATCATTTTACATATTTTTAAATTATGTAGAAAGAACTTTCAAGTTTTTTAGAACAAGAACAAGCCAAAGCTAGACTTCAAACTTCGATTCATACCTTTACAGGTTCGTCAAAAAAAATAATTTATTTTCTTCATTCCAAAGTCATCTTTGAAATCAATAAAAATTAATGGAAAACTTATCTTGCATACAATCCACTTTAAACCATTAAATTATCTGGACAATGATGGTACAAACAAAATAGATATGTGTTTTGATAAGTAAGTCTGATCAATTTTCTTTGATATATATAAATGGTTAAATCTTAATCATTCTTCTTTTACTGATTTTGGTTTTGATTTACAAAACGTAAAAAATAGGTGTGTTCCTAAAGCACCTGACACACGTTTCTCTCGTTCCGAAGAATCTTGCTTGGTAAATTGTGTAGATAGGTTCTTAGATGCATCTCGTACGTCTTCTTCTTTACATCTTTCATACCTCTTTCTTTTCCTTTTTTTGCGAGGAAACTGATTAACTTGAATTGATCCCTTTTGAAATTTTATCCATCTTTCTTCTTAAATACACTTATAACGATCAAACTTTCGGAACATCAGTTTTTATTGTCTCTCGCCTTCAAGAACGACAAGAAGCTGGACCATCTGAATCTCTTTGATAAGCTATCTTATTGCAATGAGCAACTGTAACGTTTTGTGAGAAGGTTTTCGATACCATTTGTCTCAAACCTCAAAAGTACGTCTGACGATGTGATATAATTGTGTGATGCTCTTTCATGATCGGTTCTAATATTTAACCTCAGATTGATATTACCAGGTAGCATATCCTGAACCTATATCCCCACTCTATTCACAAAGATTCATTGATTACGTTTCGTTTTCCTCCTCTCTTTCCTGCGCTAGATGAGCTACGTTTGTGAAGTTCGCTGTAAGACCAATAAAGCCTCTGAAGTCCAAAAGATTCATTTCAACTATCTACCAAATTGTGGCAGATATGCTAATCATAGACCCTCCAAATTACCTGTGACATGAAGAGATTGACCATCAAGCTTACATTTGAGTGATTTAAAACTCTATTCCCTTACGGACAAAGAGGTTCAATGACATATAAGTCATCCTTTTCAAATCATAAAAAATGAGCGCCCAATGGCTTTCTTACAGGAGCTCTGCCTGTAAATACTTAAAAGTAAAATGCAGGGCTCTCCCAATGGGATGCTACTCGATGGCACGCTGTCAGTATACATAAGACAGAGCTCCCAAATATAGTCTATTTTTGATCACATGTGGTGTTTAGTGGAACACTTTATGAGGCAGCTTCAACCCAACATCTGACTGTCTACAACATATACGCAGAATGACGCAAGCCCTGTGCATCAGGGAAACTTTACCTGCTTATTCGATCCCACTGAGAGGTTTGAATGACTCAAAAAAATGATACCTTAAGAATGACTTGCAATTGTGTGAGTAGAAAGGAGCAGCAAGTATCAAAAATTAATATAAACAAATGATTGAAACTTCAAATTCATGGAAGATGGGCTTTGAACCTTTTACTTGGTCACATCATGTAATGCTTTGGCCAAGTTTTTAACATTGTGAGGAGTAACACCTAAACCACAACAAGAAAAAGCAAAAAAAATACATCAATATCTGAACTCATGATGATGATACTGAAATGATGCAAAGCAACTTACCAGCCATGGAGATCCGTCCGTCTTTCGTCATGTAGACATGGTGATCTTTCGTCATCTTCTCCACTTGTTCAGGTGAGATACCAGCGAAACAGAACATTCTGATGAGGTAGTGAGTGTGTGTGTAGTAAAATGAGACCGAAAGATCAAACAAAACAATCAGATTACTGCCATGATGGTAAGAACTTGGAAGCACAAGTGACTAACCCGATTTGGGACTTGATGTGATCCCAATTGCGTTTACTTCCGAGCTCGTTAACAAGTGTGTCATACAATGCTGTCCTCATTCCAATGATTCGATCAGCCATCAATTTGACTTCGCCAAGCCTACCAGTATACCAAAGTCATTCGAGAAATGTATCAGTATGGTGGAACCTTCATCAATATACAGGACGCAAGTCAACTGACCATTGAGAGTAAAGTTTTGGATCACTCATAATCGTTCCAGCAATTCTTGCACCATGTACAGGTGGGTTAGAGTACATAGGTCTAACCAAGATCTTGATTTGACTCTCGACCTTGGCTTTTTGTTCTTTGTCAGAACAGACAACTGAGAAGGCTCCTACTCGTTCACCATAAAGACCCATATTCTTGGCAAATGATTGAGAAAGGACAATATCAAGACCTTGAGATACAAAGTATCGAGGTGCAAATGCGTCTCGGTCTACATCTCCCGATGCAAATCCTTGGTAAGCCATATCGAAAAAGGTAAAATGTCCCTTTTCCTGTATAACCGCACCGAGTTGAGATACACACGCGCGTTAGTCATTAGTTGGATGAGTAAAGTTATTGGACGGGCACATACCTTGACGGCTTGGGCAATCTCTTTCCATTGTTCCTGAGTAGCATCTACTCCGGTTGGGTTATGAGCGCAAGCATGAAGCAAAATGATAGATTTGTCTGGTGCGTTCTGTATTTCCATCCATCAGCTTTTTCCATCTCAATGGGAAAGTCAAAAGTAAATTGTTCATGATCCAAATCAAAAAAAGAAAGAATACATACTCTAATGTCCTCTAGCATACCCTTGGCATCCAGTCCTACGGTTTTCTTGTCATAATATCTGTAAGTCTTGACTTCTAATCCGGAATCCTTGAAGATTGGAATATGATTTCCCCAGGTAGGAGATGGAAGATAGATAGTTTTGGAGTGTGGATAAAACCTCTGTAAGAAAGCGCCTCCGATTCTCAAAGCACCTGTACCAGAGATTGATTGAGTGATAGCAACCTATGTGAATCGTAAAAGGTATATATTAGTCTTTCGGTTGTACTGACTGGGTCACTGTGACCTGTTGACCATTGGTTTTTATATAGATTGACAGTAATTATGTTGAACTCACGCGACCCTCTTTGAGTGGTGCGCTATCTTTGCCGTAAGCCAAGATAGCAGCATGTTTGGTGAATTCTGGAAAACCGGTGATTCCAAGATACTCTTTGTCATACTTTGCAGCTACAATATCAGATTCGGCCTGAAATCAAAATTTGGATCAATAGTCAGTTATTTGTTTGGAGAAACGCTTCAGGCTTCACGCTTCAAAAGAATTCGAAACGCAATTCAGTTTCAGAAGTCGTTGGTTGATGACTCACTTTTCGAACTGAAGGTAATACAAATGGTTTTCCATTCTCATCACGGTACGCGCCTACACCCAAGTTCATCTTTTGGGGACTAGTGTCAGCTTTGAAAGCTTCAGTCACACCTACAAAAAAACAAAGCATAGGAATTGTGAATTACGATCAGTAATGAATTGTCAAAAGGAAATGAAGATCAAATCGAAACCCGACAAATTTACCTAAGATTGGATCTGGAGGACCAGCTGGAACATTTGACCAAGTAGTAACAGATCTTAACAAGTTCTGACGATTAGCCAGTAAGGAGGATGATCGAGAAGCGGCTCTGAGAGCTAGTACTGAGACAGTCATTTTGATAATGTGATGCTATTGTTGAAGTTGTAGGTGAGCCAAGTGTCTTGCTGAGTTTTATAGTGGATCAAGAGATTAAGTTGAGTTGATGGAAAGTATGACGTTGATCGATCGATCGATGATTGACATTCGGAAAGGCTCGGGTCAATCACAGTCACTTTCACATCCAATCAACCAATCAATCACAGACTAAACATCTCAGATCAACTCTTTCAAACTACTTTCACAACCTTGGTATCACTTTCAATTTGGATCAGCTTCATCGAGTGCTTGTATCTTGTGTGTGAATGTGGAACTGGATGAACAAATACCAAGAAAGGAAGAGGGAAGACCATCTATTAAAGCTTGATTAACAGTCTAACAGATTTAGTTTGGACCACAAATCAATCAGCACTTACAGATCATCATCAACAACAATAGTTTGGTTATTTGGGTCACATACAAAAATCGAGACAAATGTCAACACACTGGGTGGATCAAAGAAAGGTCTTACTGGTCAGCCCAAAGATATGAAAATTCAGAGAGCATCCACGTCAGCGTGCTTCAGCGTGATCGGTGTGAACTCGGAGTTTCAAGACTTTTTCTAAAGCCTCCAAGCTTCTAACATGATGTAGTGGTATGGGTGATAAACTCAGAACAACTCCTGAGCAATTTTCTGAAAAGTGATGTTTCACAATGTATCATATATGATACATTGAACTGTTGAAGCATCTGTATCCATTTCAAAGACCGAACATCTAAGCTTGAGACTTTGATTTGACACTGAGATAATGATAATTCAGGGGGGGAAGAGCCTTGTAAATTGTAGTGCTACAAATTAATGTAGTATTTCAGCACGATTAAAAATGAAAGGAAAAACATTCACAATCTTTTTAAGATGTAAGATATCAAGAATTAATTGTAAGATACATGTTGTTGATAACTATACAGACCAAAATCCAAGATATTGACACACGTCATGGTAAGATTCTTTTAAATAGTAGTAGTAGTGGAATTGAAAAATAAATTAAGATGTCGTCCGTGAAGAAACGTTTGGTGTTATGTTGGTTCCTACTTCTTTAAATAAGAAGATAAGGATAATAAATTATTCGTCAAGGATTGACAAGCTTGAGATATCGTAAAGCAAAAGTGTAAGATCAGTCTTCTATATTTATAAGAGTAGCGAAATCGAATTCGAAAGGTTTCATGCTGGATTTGATTTTCGCATATTGATTTGTTCTTTTCGACGATTGTAGAATTGAAAGAGGATTAGAGTTGTTAAAGAAAGAGCTATCCATGCAACCTGAACTCCGAAATTCAAACCAACTGTAAAACAGGCCACCAAAGATAAATGATGAGTGGAGAGGTTGAGTTTGAAAACAATCGCTTTGGAAACTCACGTTCGTCTTTTGTGTTAAAAATAATTGTCCTAAACGTCTGTGATAAGTTGTAAAATGGGGTCTGAATAGGACAGAGAGAATTATCAGTAACTGTTTGAAGATTGATAGGTTGAATTCATAAGCTTACCGCATAACCATATCGGAACACACCGGGTAACATCTCTATTGGGTATGATGATACTGAGATGTTTGTAATCCTAAGATTTCAAAAAGGCTATAAATTAGTTTTGAAGCTCATAGTTTCCGTGAATCAATATTATATGAAAGACTTACAGCCATAGTACCAAAAAATACGGAATGAACCGCGGAGTCAAGATGGTAATTAAAGCTTCCACTGCAAGTCCACTTTTGGTCAAGAAAAGATAGTCAAGATTTTCGTTAGTCTTTGGCAAGCCATAGAGTAGAAATTCATCGAAAAATCACTTACAGGGCGGACATTCCCAAGAAAGACATTGCCCAATATATCAAAAACCCGCCCCTACCATAATATCTGCTAAAGGGCACTTTGAATGCAAGACTGATGAGAGCATAGACCCACTGATATTGATATCAAAAAGAATCAAACGTTCTTGTTATTCTTTCGATAATGATAGAAAGAGTGAAGTGTAGCTTACGGATAACCAGAAAAACATGAAGAAAGAGGTGGCAACTCTGACTATGATCAGAGACCGGAAATCCAATTTTGAATACAGGCCAGATGTCATACGAGCATTAAAGTTGAGCAACTGAAAAAAAAGAAAATCTAGTCAGACGCTCAGATAAACTACCAAACTTTCTCGGCGTTTACTTACAGTCAAGATGAAAGATATAATCAAGAGGTAAATCAACCCCACAAAAACAACGGCCTGCGCACTGATGGTACGTATGGAAAGTGACATTAGTTAGAATTATAGCCTCTGAGTCTTTGGTTTCTGATGCTTTTTGGTACGCACACTGGAACGTCAAAAGGCCTTAAATCATTCATGACATATCTCAAAGGCCGGGTGATTGTCTGCGGTGCGGCGCGCATCAAGGCACCCACGGCCGCTGCGTCTGCTTGAGATCGGGCGTGCGAACTAGCGAAAGCAGTCTGGGCGTTTCGCATCCCCGTATCAATCTATGAAGAGGCGAATTTGTTCAGTATTCTATAGATGCGGCGGAGGATAGCTCTTGTTCTTACACTAGGTAAAATAAATGCTGAGTAAGCATTGTCATCACGAGCACCACACCCATATACATTTACTGCCAAAGAGCCATTATAATTTGCATCCTGTCGGGTCACGGCCTGTTGTAGATTGGCACTCGCACCACGATTGACTGGTTTCAGATGAGGAAGCATCAGGTTTCATTCGCAGTGACAAGCAAGTTACTCGCAAGTCTTTTGAAAATCCACTCACCAACGATCGCCGCCCAGTATTCCTGCGCAAGGATCGCATCAATCACTCCTTCGGGTGTGTTGTATTTAGAAGCATCGACAATGGTCCAAGTCAATTGAGTGGATTGGCCCGTATTTTGTTTGAAGGCGGTGATCACAGCTTGTCCGATGACATCCTGATCAAAATCAACGACGATACCCTCCAATTTATTCGCATATTGTGGTAACTTCCATATCGAACCCCAATAGATACTTAAAAATGCGAATATCGCAATACTTGTGACAGCGACACCCATAACAATCATTTTTACAAAAGCATTTCTCTCATGGGAAATGCTGGGATCTAAAATCGTATGACTGAATGGTATTTTCGGAGATGGTACACTCTTTTCCACTATTGTAGCGTTCGAATCCGGAATTTTTGTTTTGTCATTGAGTCGGGTAGGTTTGGGTTGGCTATGTCGGGAATGAGGTGAGGCGGGCGTACTACCAAGAGCTGTGCGCTCGGACTGAATCGAAGGACATACGAGAGGGTCCGGAGACACATTCGGATCTGGATGTTCCATTTTGATGAAGAGGAATTAAGAAGAAGCAAGAGAGTTGATGTGATGATCGTTGAACGCGAAGTGAGAGTGAGAATGAGCAATTGAAGAGTGAAGTGTTTAATAATCTCACGCTTCGGCCTTACTCCAGTACAACTCATGGTTAGCATGGTTATATACGAGTTGTGGTTGTTGTTGATTCTTCCTTGATGTGGGCTGGTCTTAACTCCGGCCGACGCCCTTCGCAGCACCAATCAAAATTTCCAAGCCATGCTGAACTCTGCTGGACTTCCCAAAAGATGGTTTGACAAAAGGGTGCGAGGTCCGTGCGTATATGTAAGTCATTAAACTATGTGAATAAAGGATCCGTTCGACAGAAATTGTGAAACCCTGTGTAACCTAATTCTGAACCAATCTCATTCAAAAATTCAACCAAGGAGCTGGCAGCATCACAGGGCATCACCAGCACAGGCTAGCACAGGACAAGCACCAAGGCAAGCTACCATCGGCTACCATCATTTGAAAGTTGAACTTTCCCTGTGAACAAGATGAGTGTCAGTTTTGGGATCAAGATCAACACAATTCTTTGCTGTGAAAGCTCTTTGAACCCTATCACCCCAACCCTGCAATTCGATTCCTGACAATCATCTTCTATGGGACAGACCTAGCTGTTCCTCAAACCTAACCCGGCAAGAAGTGTTAGTGTGCCTATGATGTACTTCATATCTGAGTGGTTTATGTGAAAATGAAATGCCGGAAGAGGAAAAAATTTGAGAACCTGAGGATATCCCCCATTAGTATCAGAAGTAAAAACTCGTTAGCTTAACGCAAGCCCATTCTGCGCGGCCACGTCCGCGAGAGGGCTTGCGTTCAGCTAAAAAAAGCTACGGATTGTTGAAAGCAAGCACACACCAAGTTCCAACTCTTTATCATGAACTCCTCTCCCCATGCTATGGGCAATGGGCTTGAACCAGCTCAAATGGAAGGACAACAGTATGGGGCTCATATTGTAAGCTCGATTCCCCCATCAAGGACAAAACCGGGGCAGGAATATTTCTTTGTGAACCGCCTCAGAATCTTATATATATATTTTGATGCCAATGCTTGAGCCTGCATGAGGTCCATTTCTGATCCTAATCGGAATCGGGACAAATAACCCAGACGGGCAAAATATTACCCGCAAATATAAAAACAAATCAAAAAGAACAGGAGGACCATTTATTTTTGAAACAGCTGCACTTCACTTCAAGTGCTCTTCAAACTTCAAATTTTACACCACCCCACTCTATATAGTCACAAGGATTGATTCTGAGATGTAGATCACACTACACAATCAATGCTGGTTCCGGTGTGTGCAGCTCCCCCTTCAACTGACCATACCCAAGGGACCAGCTAAGATCCAGCTTCGGAGAAGTACAGTTTCGGACAGCATGAATAGATACATACAAATATGTAATCAAATTCATGTCTTGGCTTGATTGCACTGTGCCCGTATATGTAGAACATAGGGGACGTCGAGGGCCCTTGCGGGTACAAAGGCTTGCCTTTGCACCTCTTGGAGCCCCCGACGTCCGGGGCAGCCCAGGCAGGCACTGTGTTGATGTCAAGTAGCTTGTGAACCACAAATTGCAAGACCTAACATCTCCACTCCATCTATTTTTTTCCTGCTTTATGGGTGTTTCCCCTGTTTTATTCATCTTTGGTCAGTACTTGTCGTGTAGTTGTATATTTCCTGTTGAATTTTTGCATGCATGGTTGGAAGGCAAGGGTGGTATGATTTTGACCTGTTTTTGTAGCTTTTTGAAATCTTTCAAGTGAATCAGATGCGTTGATCGTGGCAAGAAGCTGATTATTTCCTGAGTTCTTCACGTATGGCAAAGAGGCCAGAATACAAAGTTTTAGTATACATGAAACACCACAAGGTATCTTTGTGGCGAGTAAACCCCCGCGTCAAGCAAAAGCTACCTTACTAGGACCTCCTGAACTCTTTTCATTTGAATTTTTTTTGTAACAATGAGACAACATTTCCATGATTTGAATCATTGGATGATCCAAATGATATATGCTTTACACAAAAGCAGGTTCAAAATTTCCCACTATCATATTTACGACGATTGCTTCATGGAGATTGTCTTGCGGAAGTAAATATGATGAGCATGCATGATGGGGGCACGCCTGGTACATAGCCTCAATTTGAAAGGCTTGACTTGTTTTCTTCTCCCGAAATATAAGAAGGTAATAAGTGAAAAGCAAGCCTGAGCTCTTGTCGAGAATTTGTTGCATGATAAATCTTCAGCTTTGGAAGATAAGACTTCACCATCATCAATTTTTCATAAGTTTGGATGAAGAACATGTTTACAGATTCTCTTTTAACGTTTATGATACCACATCACACACTCGCATAGCTGTGGTGCCCAGCAAACAAAAGAGTTTAAATGCTCCCGAGGCCAGCTCACTATACCATATCCCAAGTCCTCCGCTAGTTCATCCTCATTACCTGAAGGGGAATTCATGATATGATCGTGATCGAAGAGTCAAAATATCTGCAGAACAGCATCAAAATACCAATAAGTGTGCCGAGGCAAACACAGAGGAAACAGGAGAACTAGGGTAGAGATTTTGAGTTCATTGTGGTCAAATCCACATGTTGCTAAACCAATTTCTGAAGCTCGTCGGTGTGTCGAGAGAGGGGCTTCGCTAAGTTTAACCGTGAACGTCTCGCGGAAGTTGACCGTGCCACACCACATCATCCCCTGGTAAACATGCTGGTGGTGGGATAAATCAGATTCGGCGTTGTGTAATGGCGATGCCATCCTTCAGGTGAACATGTGTACGCGTGGTGTCGAGTGACCAGCCCATGTATATGTGTATGAACCCCACAAAACACCAATCAGTCGATGGCAGCGCAAAGGTAAAGTTTTGAAACTTGATCTGGCGAAGCCACGCCGATAGACCCATGAAATGATTTCAAACACTGACAACGGAGTTTGGACCCGGATACATAGAGTTTTGTCGACGTGCTCTGTGTAACTAACAACGTTTTTATCCTGATGTCCGGTTGATTGGTTGATGGTGGATTGATTGATTGAACAAAACATTTCTGCGCCGCGCCTCAGAAGAGAGTGACAACTCCACCGGTGGATAACTCACGCAGGTCAAAGAACTCAAGAGTGAGAACGTATATGGTCCCTCCAAGCCTCATTCTTTGGTTCAACTCATCCAAAATCATTGAGAACCCATCATTTTAACCAAGTTCTTCAACCTTCGATCATTTTTATTGCAATACATTGCACGGCGAACGTCAATTACATTCCTCACTCGATCAAATCGATATATCCTGGTAGAACATTCGGCTTAAAAAATTTCATCGGTTCAAATTCTCTTCCTATATCTTTTACCTGAATCCTACTTCACGGGTACAGTTGCTCACGAGGTATGGTTCAACGATGCGAAATCTTTGCCTTCGTTTTCTTTTTAGCTTTTCATAATCCTTTGAGAGTGGTGCTAGGAGCAACTCTGGAATTGAACTTTCCGGGTCTATGTAAGTGACCTTCATACAGCGCAAGTTTTGAGTAGAAACTGATTGGTACATTTGACCCATGTGATCAGATCCAGAAAATGGAGCGGTTCTTCCAAGTACTGGGATGATGTACTATAGTAGTCTTTATAAAGGAACTGTGGTCAAATATGATCCAAAAAAACAAACTTTCCAAGAGATCACCATCCCAGGTGTTAGTGGCGCACCCAATACTCACGTCTCAGGTATCGAAGCCGATAGATCACGTCCTTTGATTTGGGCTATTGTAGATGCTGCTTCCGCATTTGCAACAAATGGAGCGTAAGCTACTGATTCTCATCACGATCGAAAACGAACCCCATGCTTTAAAGGGGTTTGGAAATTTGATGCTGATGAAAATGGTGACATGTTGGTAGTCAACTTTCAGGTCCAGCTGGACTCCTTGGCATCGACACAAATGATAAAATCGTTTATAACGTCGATTTGAACCCTACTCTTAAAGAAGTGCAAAGTCTGAACGGTGGTATAGAAGTAGGCGGGGCACAAGATGCGGTATGTCCAATATCTTTTTTCTTTCTTTTTTGTCTCTTTGGAACAAGCCATGTAAAGATTGGAAATTTGAATTATTAACAAAGATCATTGTTAATCATCCATTTCACTTGAATCCATCTTTAGACAACTGATAAAGATGGAAATGTTTACGTGACCGCGAGTTTCGGTAAGGAGTCTGTTCATGTTGAAAGACGTGGAAATGAGCAATCCTTCCGTCTTGTGTGCGGAAGATCATAATCTAAAGGTTCTGCTATGATTCAAATTCAGGTCAAGCAATTTTGAAATTTGATCCCAAGAGTCAGAAAACTTCAATCTTTTACTTCGAGATGAACCCAAAACCACATACTTTGGGTTATACTGGCATTGAATTTGTAAACTCCAAGACTTTAATTGTTTGGAATGATGCCATTAAAGCAATAGAAGTCAGTTATTTTTCTACTTCCATTTCTAAAACATTTCAACTTACTGTTTCTTGCATTTTTGATTACAATCTAGACGTTTGATATCACTTCAACCAAACCCAAACCATCTGTTCCAGAAGGCGATCGTCTGTCCAAGTCTATGATGGCAGACGCAATCTATATTCCTAGCTTTACTAAAGGCACCTGCTTGCTCCTCAATGATGACGTATCAGGCCAAGTAGAAGTAAGCAAACAATCCTCTATCTCTAAACAATGAGCCTTCGAATTGAACCTTTCTTTCTGTTGTTTTCAAGGTCGTCAAATCGCATGACAACTGGAAGTCAATCACCCATGCAGGTTCGATTCCTACTGATATGAAATCTGGTGGACTTGCTACTTTCACGTATGAGATCAGTTCCAGAATTTATTATGGTTCAGAGGTAAGTTCAAGTGTTTGTTCGCTTATGAAAACCATCGTAATCTTGAGCCATGTACGTTCTAACCATGTATTTGCGCACCTGTTTCGAAAAAGTTCTTCAATGACCGATCACGTACTCGTAGTCTTTTCCCTCAAGGTGATATAACTGATGCAGTTAGCAAAGCCTGCGCTTAAGATAAAACGTACAAATTGTTCACTAGACCTCAATATTGCATTTCAATCGCATTCATTCAGTTTTCCTTTGGGTCGAATGGACAAGGGAAATCAGTAGTCCTGTTCGAGCAAGTATATTTTAATCGTTTGCTTAGTCTCAATCATTTCATTGTTTTGCCTATAAATTCAAGTTAAAAGACATCGGATCACACGGATCCCTTTTTGGATATGGGGCGATGTTTTGAGTAGGATGGTGGACTTCGAAGGAAAAGTATCAGTCGCCCATCCCTTAAATGAGTGAACCTCCACGAGATTCGAGGTTCTGGGTTCGGTGAGATATTAGAGTTCTTTCCAAAAGCAGGCGATTCAAATCTCAGTGGTATGCAAATGTATACAATTTAGATTGGTTCCTACTAGAATGGACTTTTTGATCGAGATCCAATACGCATCAACTTATACAAGAATTAGATATCTGGCCGGATTGGAGCTCAGAACATTAGCCAAACAACTCACACATTGAATGACTCTTCATGCAAAATACCTGATCAAGCGCATCAGACACGATCCAATGTTATGATGTCTTCAAAATTCTAGCCAATAAAACATTTCCATTTCTGATAATCATTTATCTGTTCACTCTTTCTTAGTCTTCCCACAATACAGCGAATGTCTATCTCAAAATTACACATTCCATGATCAACTCAGCCAAATTATGAAGCATTCAGATCCATCAGTTTTACAACACTGTAAATCACTTCGTTACATTATTTTCTTTCACGCTTATTACCATCGTGCAAAACAAACTACAAATGAATATCTGAAAGGTGTACAGGAACCCTTGATGACAGGAACCCCGAGGTAAATCTTGAGCTCTGCGACATCAGGAATCTGAAAGGCGTAATTTGAAAGACAAAATCAGTACGTCTCTGAGCGCTCAAGTTTGAATGAAGAAAGACATACCATTAGGAGATCTATTGGATCGCAATCTTTTCACTATACAATCACATTCTTCAGATCAGAGAGTTTTCCTTCTTCTTCGGTTTTGATATCTTGAGCCTGAGCTTTAATAGTAACAAGATGTTCAAGTGAGATAGTAATTAGAGCTACCTCTCGTGTTTGATTGGTTTTTGGTTGATATTCGATTGCATGATCTAAAACAATGTTACAACGTTGATCGGTGCAAATAAAGTTTCCAGTAAACACTCGACCGTCAACGATGGTGATTTGAATACGACGACCCAAAAGTTTTCTTAATCCTTCTGGTTTTGGTTCGAGCATCAGTTCATCTGAGAAATGGTGGTGAGACAGCTTGACTTTGGGATATGGTCATGAGATTCAGCTGGCTGCTGGCTGAACCAAAACATGAGTCCACACAAAGTCGGATCAATTGAGCCCGAGCCCCGATAGGCGGAGCCGGACTCACTACCCCGGTACATAGCCCTGCGCCGAGGCTACCCGAGGAGACTTGCACTTGCAGAACACGGGAGTGGCAATCTCGGCTCTGCCCACCCTTGCATCATCAACACTTCAAATTTTTCAAATGGCTTGCACTTCAATACCCTTCCAGACTTCTTTACGGAGACGCATTTGTCAGGCCAAAGTATCTTTAAATGGCGGAACATCGATTGGTCATGTCGAACAAATTCGTGGAGCGAAGATGTGGGTTGCACCTCCGAAGAAAAAAACGATAGATGAAGGAACAGCTGGACCTCTGTTCGATAGTTTACGACTCTTGAAGGTCTGCTTTCTTTCAAAAATTGACCCCCCCAAAAAAATTACAGAGTCAAATAGTTTTTGACTCAGGTTTGATTTTCTAAAGCATGAAATTTAAGTCAAGTGCTTCTTCTATTCTTTGTGGTATAAATAGGCAATTCAAGCTCAAGAACCGAATGCAGCGTTTCGAGTGACGATTCAACCTTTGTTGAAGAAAGAAGTTAATGCAAATGTGATGAGAGGAAGGATTTTCCTTCCAAACGATGTACCAAAGGATTCAGATGCTCAAGAAGAAATCGTGGCAGTGATTGTTAAAGAAGATTCACCAGATGCAAAACTTGCAATTCAACTCGGTGCAAATCATGTTGGAGATAAAAAATTAATTGAACAGGTCTTGAAGAAAAACTCTCCTAAAATAAATACGGTTTTTTGGATTTCTGATAAATTCTTCAACTTTTTTTCTTTCTAGATTGTTGAAGGTGTTATCAATCCGACCAAATTACTTTGTCATCCAGATCAATTACCATTACTAGTCAAAAACTCATCAGTTGCAAAAGTTCTTGGCCGAAAAGGCTTGATTCCTTCCGAAAAACGTGGAACTGTATCTTCCGATATTGCTAAACTGATACAAGACGCTAAAGGTGCTCTGGATTGGTCTCTAGAAGCGTCAACTGATGTTATCAAGGCAGATCTTGGTAAGGTGGGAATGGGATTACGTGAAATAGAAGAAAATGTCATGGCCCTTGTTGACGTTGTCGGTGATATTGCTCATGGAGGAAATGGTGCGCTAAGACCATATAAATCTGGCCGGCCTATAAAGAGACGTATGTCATTTTTTGATTATCATAAACTCATCAGTAGTGGCCGTGGCTTACACTCATGTTTTGTTCAATAATTCACAGCTGGCGTAAAAAAGGTGACGGTGACTGTTACAGGTGGACCTCAGATCACCGTTCACTGAACCCTGGCAAATGAATGGGAATTGAATCATGCTTTCTGCACGTACACAAATTTCAGCTCAGTGAATTTGGGCCCATACCTTGGATATACTGGGTCGAGAGCTTCTACAATTGTGAAATATATGTATAGCGATGCTCTATTTTTTACTACATTGCTTTAGACTGCTAGTTAACTTTTTTGGACCAATTAATACAAACTAAATATTTGAAAATTGTCAAGTGCTGACCCTTTCCATATAAGAATTGATGAACGGATCCGCGTTGATGATCAACTTATCAGACTAGTTTTAGACACTTTTGGAAGATATCACTGCTGTGATCCAAAGGCATGGCGAATCCAGAGCTCATCTTTATATGATTTGAGTTTTGATTGATATGTTTTTCAAGGCCGGGACAAGTGAAAAGATGTTCAAAAGGAGTTCTTCTAGAGATTTGGCTCTGTACACGAGAATGAAGATAAGCAAACAAAAAAGAAGATGATACCAACAAACAAGACATCATGAAAACAAGTGGCAAGGCAAACCCGGACAGACATGTGGAGACAGCAATGGTGCAAGGGTCATGTCTAACCCTTGTTATACTCTCCACTTACTGGAGAAGCTAAAGTGGTTTGGAAAGAGCTGAAATGGTACAAGAGACTTCTACAGAAATTCCTAATTTCACACAAACGCATCGGGTATCATTTCAGATTTGAGGCTGAGCTTACGGCGTCGGTTGGGTACGATGTCCAAAAAGATCTTGAATTCAATGCCTTTAGACTTGCAGAAATCTTCCAATGGATTCATCATAGAATCCAGTCTCGGGTCAGGTAGTGTATCTATACATCTGATTCTCATGGGCATTACTAACTCCTTGAGCTTAGGGAATACATCTCTGATGATAAATTCTGAGAACTCAGGCACTCCATTTCTGGAAGCATCACGCACTGTGAGGTAACGGAGATTTGGACACCCTGTAAAGCAGTGAAAAGACTCGCATGACGGACGTCGATATATAGTCAAGTGCGTTAGATCCGGTAGGGAAAATCGATGGATTTTTGGGTTGAAGGTGGGTAGGATTTGTTCCGCCTGGTGGTGCCCAACAAATTCGAGTTCGAGATGAGTTAGGTAAGGAGCCCAAGAACTGATGTATGAAGGCAAATTTGATAACCAAGCATTGGGATAGTGACGAATTACAAGTTTGGCTAACTGAGGAGGTGCTTTATGTCGGACCCAAGATTCGTCTATAATATCAACGCGGTTTACAACAAGGTGCTTCAAGTGTTTGAGAGTTGAGAGAGAGCTAGCAATGCAATCAGCTCGTCCCCAGTCTCTAACTAAAATATTTGAAAGCTCGAGGGATTCAAGGAGCGGTAGGTGTTTGAGGGGTTCGATGATAGACTCTGCGGGTATTGGTGAAAATTGAGGACCCGAGTACTGGAGATTTTGGAGATGACCAAGATTGGAAACTAAGGAAGTCAAATTGCAACTCAGATTGGTCACTTCAGGATAACGCCAACAGAGCGGAAATCGAAGACAGAGCTTTGTAAGGTTGTCACATTGAGCCAGCAATTTGAGGAGGCTTTTAGGACAGAGACCAGGTGAATCGCGTAAGACAACGTCATGTTTGACTCCAAGGAGACTTTGTTGAACGTGGAGGGCAAGATCGTCGAAGTGAACGTCTTCATATAATGGACGTCGACCGAAGCTGTCTGCCTTGCGGTGATTCGTTTCAATAAGCTTGCGAAATTTGAATTTGCTCGAATCGCAAGACTGGAATGTAAAGTGATGTTGGTTTTCGTCACGCGCGAATTGTTCGGTAGCGAGAGAATCATGTGGTATTTTAACCCATTCTGCATTCAAATTCGCATTACATTCTTTAATGTGAGATGCGTATTTTGGTAAAATCTCCTGATGCCAGAAAGACATTGGGCGGGAGATTTTAGGTGAAAACGAAAGAGACTAGACCAACAAAGGTGAAAAAAGTTAGCAGGAGACAAACGCATCGTATGATGGTCAGTAGGTATTTCTTGCTTTCTTGAATGTATTAAATTCAACTTACCTTCCATATGAAAGGCTGGCAAAGAGAATAAATCCTACGATTCACAAGGGAAAAGGATCGAAAGCTACTCTTGATCTGATTATCAGGGTTATATTGATAAATGTATAATGGTTTCGGATCCTCTGATACCAGGGTAAGTATCTGTTTGGCTTGCTCTTCTTGAGTCCCTCCATAGTTGGTCTGACCATCGTAAATGTACCGCACAATCTTAAGAAGTAGCTCATCTGGCAATTGGTCAAGTCGGTCTTTGTGACTTTCAGATGTCGTCTCGCAGGTTCGGAGAAGTTTTACGCTTGAGTCCGTCATCCTGATTTACTCTTGTGGTCCGAGTTTTCCTTAGTGCGCAATGGTGACGATGAACCGTGAGGAGGTGAATGAAGAAATGTCGATGAAATCAATGGTTTTGTTCAAAATTTGCAGTTTGAAAAAGCGGCAAAGCAGGTGAAGGGCAAGATAGATTTTTATAGATTTCAAGGGCAACCCTTCAGACTGTTCAGGTCAATTAACCAACCGGAATATTAAGTTTGTATTCCTTGTACCCTGTCTAACTCCGTCATCAGAATGCAGCAGCAAAGTCCCAGCGAACCAGGGCGCGGACGCAGCACAACATCATTTCACAATCTTTCCAAATCCTGTCCGCAACAGACCAGAGCACTCTTCACAACTCTTCACAGATACTGACCAAAGATGACAATGAAGGAAAAGGTCTATATTTTTCTGCATTACTTTAGGCTGGTAATAAATGTGATTATACCGATTGATACATAACAGAGATAACAATAATGATGAAGACTAATCGTAATGAGTCTACTCTTGGAACAGATCTTGTGTTTGGCGTTCCAAGATCCCCAACTATTTTATAACTTGGTTTGACATTACAAGAGTTTGGAAAACATTTAAATCAGAAGGACAAGGTTTTGGATGATTTACAAATCTATTTAATAAAGAACTAGCCGCGTACAAGATGAAAAAGTTCCTAAACAAACACATAGTGGAGAAAATCAAAAGGCCAGCACATTGATTCATGAGACATTGTGAAGATAAGTAACAAGTATGACATAAAGGTAACATTTAAAGACAGGAATGGTGTTCAGGTGATGTTCAACGCGAGTCGTACGCCACAGACACCATCGATTCAATCTGATCTGATCTCAACCATTGATCTTCGGGATAGAAAGCGGTCGTCGTATGAAACCCTCAGCAATCTTGAAGTCAATACCTTTAAACTTGCAAAAATCTTCCAATCGATTCAATTTAAGATCCAATCTCGGGTCAGGTGGTGAATCTAGACATTTCACGGGCATTACGATTTCCTTGAGCTTAGGAAATACATCACAAATGATAAAGTTTGAAAATTCAGACAGTCCGTCTTTTGAAGGATTACGAACTATGAGATGAATGAGATTTGGGCAATCTTTGAAGCAGTGAAAAGTCTCGCATGCGGAATGACGGTAAATGGTCAAATGTCTCAAAGCCGGTAGAGAAAACTGATGAATTTCTGGATCAAAGTTAGGTAAGATTTCGTTTGGTTCAGGGTATTCGTGTTGATCAAATTTGAGCTCGAGATCAGTTATGTGAGGAGCCCAAGAGCTGATGCAAGATGGCAGATTCAATGACCAAGGATTGGGATAGTGACGGATCACAAGTTTGGTTAACTGGGGAGGAGCTTTATGATCACGCCCCCAAGAGTCGTCTATCACATCCACGTGCATTAGAGCAAGGTGCTTCAAGTTTTTGAGATTCGAAAGAGACCTAGCAAGGCCATCGGTGCGTTCCCAGTCGGTAACTGATACATTCGCGAGCTCGAGTGATTCGAGGAGTGGAAGATGTCTGATAGGCTCAATGATAGACTCTGCAGCTACGAATCCAAAGAAAGGACCTTGATACTTGAGATGTTGAAGTTGTCCAAGATTGGAAAGCAATGCAGTCAAATTGCCACTCAGATTGTTGATCAACATCTCTGATACAATAGAATTCCAATGATGCGATAATTCAAGAGAGAGCATCGTAAGGTTGTTACATTGAGGAAGCATTCCGAAAAGGTCTTTGCGAGGGAGACCATGTCGTTCGCGTAGCACAATGTCCATTTTGACTCTAAGGAGACTGCGTAAAACCCGGGACTCGATATTATCGTCGTTGAGATGGATGTGTTCAACTGACGGACCTATCTTAAAGCGCTTGTACCATGGGGCACAGCCCTGGGCCTTGATCCACTTGACAAGCTTGAATTTGTTTGAATCGCACGACTGGAAGGTAAAGTAATGTTGATCTTTGTCCCAGGCATCCCGCAGAGAAAGAGGATCCAGTGGTTCTTGAATCCATTCACTTTCCAACATGGCATGAAATTCTTTGACATAACATGCATATTTTGGTAAAATCTCCTGATTCCAAAAAGAAGCTGGACGAGAAATTGCACGAGGCATTGCAAGGAACTGAAATACGACACATAAAGATCAGTATATATCAGGGATCGGTCTTTCATGCAACAATGAACCAAAGCCAACTTACCTTCCATATAAAAGGCCGACAGAGAAGATGGATTCTACGATTGACAGTGGAAAATAAATGAAAGTTACTTATGATCGGAGCTTCAGACTTATGTTCATAAAGATGTAGAGGTTCTAGATCTTCTGATACAAGGGTGTGTATCTGCTTGTCCATCTGCTGATAAGTTTCTCCGATCTTGTCTTGGTCCGGGCATCGTAAACGTATTGGATGATCTGAAGAAGGATTTCATCAGGAAGTTGTTCAAGTAGATCTTTCTGAGTTTCAATCGCTTGGTTTGGGGTTTGGTTAAGTTGCTTGGTTGGTTTTCTCGAGTTTGTCATTGTTTTCTTTCTGTTGCTTGACTTTGACAGAAGACAGAAAGCGATAAACGATCCGGATCTGAGGTTTTGAAATTAAAACTTGAATACCAAATGGTTTTATTCTAGACTTGAAGAAGGACATTTCATCTTCATCCGGTCATTATCAGCAGATATACCCATGTGGATAACTGGATGACGTATGTAGAAAGGAAGTTTGTTTACCGTAGCCGAGAGTAGCCGCCAATGAAGCCCTCCGCTAAGGGTCGTTCGTGACCTCCTCGTTTTTCCTCGGAAAGGGAAGTTGATTAAGTTAGGCTGGGCACTCAGCCTACACCAGGAGGGGAGGTAAGGGTCCTCGGTGTCGGCCGGTTCCTGTTTCGTTTTCAAAGATTCGGTGATGTTGTATTTACCTTTTCCTTGCAACCCCTTTTGCTTGGATGAGATTCCACTCCATAAGGTCTCATGTTGATGCGGCTTCAGCAGTTGATGGTCTGACTCTCCGTTCTGAAGCCAAAAACCTGGTGCTCTAGCTCAGATAGTTATTGGAAAAGCCAGGTTGCAACAAGGGCTAAAGTTAAATAGAACGTGCTTCCAAGGAGTATGCAAGGAACAGCTGAAGCCCCGAGGTAGAATCTCAACCCCACCCGATCCCGATAATGTCTCAGCTACCGACTCATTCGCCTTCTGACATTTGATCCACACCTCAACCAAGAAGTCGAACATCAAACATCGGACAATTTCATCAGCTTAACCTAGTCATTCGGTCGCTCTCTGATCCAACAGCTTCGAACCAATTCTTTAAGATCCACCCTGATAATCAATTGGCTTCCGGACGACCCCATTGGTTCTCCGAGACCGACTTACCTCCTTTGCCGTGTTGGCCATCATCCCTTCCATTGACACGCAAGTTCCAATTTGCTTGTTGAGGCTTGACATTCGCTGATCCCGTGTTCTTTCGTTTTCTTTACACAGACATCCTCTGGACGCGTTTTACGAATCTCATTACCATGTTGACACCAACGATCTTTTTGGCACCGTTCATCATCTTATCAATCTTTATAACTCCCTCACTTTCACAAAATACAACTCGCAACATAATTTATCCCAATGTCACCTCAACCACTCCAGTCACCGCCACGAACCAGACAAACACTGTTAGCGGTGCAAATTCGTTACCTACGAACGCACCCACCACCAACGCTACCGTCAATGGCACTCTCCCCAACACCCATCCAAACGTCACCACAGCTACGACTCCTTTACAGAAAATACCAGATTCGACTGGTATCAACAATGTACCCGTTCCAGTCATGAGTGGAGAACGAGCTAACGGTCGTTTCGGACCTGACGACGGTTATATTGCGGCAGTTGGACAATTGATCATTCCTGTTTCTCTCAGCATTGGAGTCATGCTATTCACAGTATACATGGTCGGAATTGGCCTTTAAAACCTTTATAGATCATCTTGCATCTTCATCGTCTTTTTTGTCTCACTATTACGCCAACTCTTATGTCCCTATCTTTATCGTCTACGTTGAATTATCTCCTAGCTAACAATCATCATTGTTTGGGGGCCTTGGAAAGCTCCTTTTCCTAACGCATCTCTTTTCTTCATTCTTTATGGTTTTGCTATCTTGGATTGAAGTTTTATACACATTTGTACTATCTCAATTTCAAAGTTCTTACTATTTTGAGATGTACATCCTTAAACATTGCAATTTTCTTTTCTTTTGTCCTCTGATTGAATTCTTCTCCCCCTTAAGCACACAATAATTCGGCAGATTTTGTTCGTTTCCAATGGACTACTACTCAAACAAAACTTTTTTGGTCTTTAATACAAAATTGTTCTCATGCGGATCCTCATTCTCATTTTTTCCTTGTCTGATCTCTCAAGAATGACCTATTTGAAATCTTCATGCTTTGTACGCCACACGTCGCCAAGCGTTGATGGTCTTCTTGCCCTTGATACGGTCGGCGCCAACTCAGTATGTGTCTTGACATCTTGCAGTTCAGATTTGCGTAAATCTCAAGTCGATACATAGCCGTGGTGGCCGCTGAGTTCTAAACCAACTGTAGTATCTAATGATCCCTCATTTGGATTCTGCGCCTTTTAAAGGGATGTGGAGGTGAAGTATATACCTTGCAAGAAAGCAAATCTGATATCTGCTGTATCCTCAGAAAGGAGATTGAATGAGTTTCTCCATCTTCTCTTTAAACAAATGCCATTTGTGGACATCTTTGATTTCAGGGGGTTTCAAGTTTACTCAAAGCAAGTATGTGGTGCCACATCCTTTCAAATTTTCTTTTTGACAGGCAAAATGACCTAAACTGACATTTTTTTGCCACATATAATTCAAAATGTCATTTTCTTTAACTCATTATGGAATTTTCTGTGTCAAAAACAAAATTTGCATAGTATGTGGCGCCACATACTTAACAAGAGAAAGGGATGAGAGGGAAGCTATTGTTGATGGACTTGTTGTAAACAAGCCTAAGGATTGAGGTGACCAAGAGGTAGAGCACACCTTGAAGTGAAGGTTACGAATCAGCAGTGAGAAGAGGAAAGGATAGCACTATGTATACGTAACCAAGCATGTCATCAATCATCACAGTCATACATCATGGAATCACTTCAGGACACAGCACACAGCCAGCGCAAAGACAATTGGGGTGTAAGAAAAGCATTACTATATATGAATCGAAGTAGCTGTGAGAGGATATTTAAAACTTTGCCCCGGGGTGAAAAAGTGTCCCAACCATAGCAAATCTGAATATCTATGTGGAATTTGAAGAGTGTATATATAGGTGAATGTTGAGGGATGCTTTGGAAACAACTGTGCCACAGCAGAATACAGTCTTTGCAAATTCTGTGTCCAAGAAGATTGAAAAAAACTGACGGGTTACTTCCTATGAGTTTCATCACTGGTACTTTTGATGAGCTTGATCTCAAGGTCATACTCATCCGCAAATATTGCCTTATCAACACTGATCAGCCCTTTGTAGATCACAACCCCCATCAGGAATGAAACAGCCACATAGGCTATGACAATGAGTATCAAAGACCTTCAAGGATAAGACAAGTCTGGCATTTGCAAAAGTACAGTATCTTTGAGAAATCAATCCACCTGCTTGTGTTTATTTTTTTATTTTCTTTCAAGGTTGCACTAATAATTACTGACCTAGATTCTATATAAAGCAGCTGTAGTCAATGATTTTCTAAACTTTATAGATTGTAATCCACCTTTCAAGTCTCCCCCCACCTCCCTACTCCTGCCCACCACTCCACCACTCCAATCTCCAATAATTGAAGTAAATGAAACTCATACCCACCTTTTTTTGGCCATTGACCTGTGGTAGGATTGGAATGAAGCTGGAGATGCATTTGTGCCTTTGTGCCGGGGTGTACATTGCAATGCTGAGCTTTGATTGCAACTTTGGATACAAAGAGAGCAAGGATTGTGAAAGATAAGCAAGATTGTGATCCTTCACAATTGCTGCACCCTTGAATAAGTCAACTACAGCGCTTATGTAGATTCTAGCTGAATAATTCTTAGTATAACCTGGAAATAAATAAATAAAGAAAAACTAGCAGGCAGTGTTTCTTCTAAAAGCTGCTGTAGTCACCCAGTATCCCGAAATCTTCTCAATATGTTTGTCTGGTTGTTGTATAAATTCCACTCATATGTTTTGGTGAAAGGGTTGAGATGTTCAAGTGTGACTGATGTAATCAACTCCAATAGGGAATGACAGCAAGAATGAAGAGTGAGAGTGCTGTTAGGGTAAGCATAATTATCACAAAAATGCATCCAGCTGATGAATGGAAAAAGCAATTGTTAATCCACTGAGTCATCTAGAGTATGCATCATGTGTCCAAACTCTGTTGTCACCATGTTGGGGTTGGTGTGATCCTGCACTAATAATTAACCATGTAAGTAAAAGTCATTGTCAACACTCCACTTCACATGGTGATCCAATCTTGGGTGATAGGTGGTTTCAAGTTAACTTTTTTGACATATTTTTATGCTACAACAACAAGAAAGTTTTTGTAAAATATATGTAAATGACACCGCAGGAATTATTTAGTTTGAACCCCGATTGAACCGAATTTTGGTGTCCGGGTTTGAAATTTCCTCGAATTGTGAATTTTGTTCACAACTCGTTTGCAATAGGTTTGCCGATTTCCCTCAAGTGGTACTCTGCTTGCCCCGTGTATGTACAGCTACATCATACAACAACAACACCTTTCAACAACAGTCACCACAGATTCATCAATGTACAGAGCATCAAGACTGAGGATGCATGACAAAGGAAAGATGGCTCAATGGTCGGAAATGGGGTGGTTGTTGTATGTTGTAGCTGTACATACATATGCGGGGCCAACAGAGTACCACTCAAGGGCAACTGGCAAACCTATTGCAAACAATTTGTGAACAAAATTCATGATTCGAGGAAATTTCAAACCCAGACACCAAAATTCAGTTCAATCGGGTTTTGAACTAATTAATTCCTGTGGTGTGAGTTTATTGGAATACATTGGTTTTACACAGATTTTTTTTACAAAAAACTTGCCCAAATTTTAAAAAATACACAAAAAACAAACAAACTTTAAACCCCCTAATAAGATAGCTTGGGCAGTTGCACAGTATCCTCTTGAGTGATGCCCTTACCAAGTATACACCAGAAGAAAGGGTTTATATGCACATATTGCTTTGCATAGATAATATTCATGAGAGGTTGCATTATCAAGAGAATCATATCTGGTATTTGCATACTTCTCACAAGGAAATATGTGGAATGGAAAAAAGAAAAAGAACTAAGTGTTTGCAAGGGGAAAATATGGAAAACAGAAAACATTATTCAAGAAGATGAGTTGGTACAAGTGAGACCTCATAAAAAGACACATAATAGAGCAAAATGTGGAACATCAATAGATTGGGGGAGCTGAGCAAGCAAACAGAGTATTATGAACTTCAAACAGAGTGCCATTGTGGGGGTTAAATAAACAACAATTATGTGATCCTTAAAGAACATATTATCATGTTGACACTGCCAGAATTATTAAAGAGGTTCTTGGATAGGAAAGTGGGTCCTAGCCACACTTGCATCTCAACGTAACACAATGGATTACGGTGTATATGTGACTACGTTACGGTAGACCGTTGGCATTGGCTACCGTTTCGTAACGTTATCAGGTGGGTACCGTAGCACAAAGTTCAATACGGCACGGGCAGAGCGTACCATACCGTACCTAAATGGGCTTTTGTGCCCCAGATTACGGTTGATTGCGGTGAAACGGTGATAAAATTGAAAAAATCAATAAAAATCGATAAAAATCGATCTAGGTTGTAGTTTCAATCCATCATAAAATGGTCCAAGTGCTTCTGGACATGCCATACTCAAATCGCGATTAGCTCGATGTCAACTTGCCTCTTCTCCTGACAGAAAGACACCTGGATGGGTTGCACAACCCAATAATCAGAAATTACAGAACGATAATCGTGAGTGAGTCCTTTCATTAAAGACGTAAAACAAAGATGTAGTACGGACCAAAGTGACAGCAGAAGACCAAGCCAAAAAGTATTCAATCATCAAATCCTTCACCACCGTATCTTTGACAACAGACCCTTTTTGATGATTCACCATCATCTCACTGAGTTGAGCCAGTTTATCTTTAATCCAACTTGAGCAAACTTGATTGCTCTCAACTGAACCCGTGGTAGAATAACTTGATCAATTTGTGTATTGAGCACAATCAATAAGTAACTTGTTAACTCTCTCAAATTGCAATCTTGTTCAAAATTTCCTCTTTAGGCGCTCAAAATCAACTCGAGCATATCGTTTAATACCAACTTGTGCTAATTTACACATCAATTAACCACTCCATCAAAGTCTGAACTTTGTACCAATTGAAGTTTTTAACAAAACCCGTAGTCAACCGTAGTGACTACGGGTTTCATTGCGGGCACCGCAACGTGATGGCCCGTAATCGTAATCAGGACCATCACCGGATTCCTTAACCATGCATTGCGGTACGGAGGTACTGTAGTGTCCAGAGGCTGATAGCAGTACGGCGCGGGCCATAACGTACCATACCGCTGACCGTAGTCATCGCGCTGAGGTCCGGGCGTTGGTCCTAGGGACCAGATTCCCCTTCTGCCATTGTGGAACAGCTCCATAAATATTTCCCAAGTAGCCATTGTGATATATGCAGTCAATTTTTCAAGATGCTTGTCAAAATTTGAGCAAAATTGCAGCGTGTATCACATGTGATTTTCATGGCCAGATGAACAGATAACTGAGCTGATCTGTATGTAGCTGATAGCTAAGGATTTACTCAGATGTTTGCACATATGTATGTAACATATGCTTTATGGCTTAGTTGTACAGTGCAAGATAATTACATGACACATTCTACTCTCAATCATGTTCCCAGCCTAGGTCACTTTCCCACCCAGGAGCCTATTTAATGCAGGCATGAGAAACCAGTTAAGGGATATAGGGCAGTGAGAAGAAAGTGCCTACAGACACAAGGAAAGCTATGTATGTTGTCAGCAAACTGTGGAACCATGTATAGAACCAAAATTTACAGGTGAATGGCTTTGCTTGATGGGGTGGTTCCTTTTGTAAAGGGTGTGTGCTTTTTAATAGCCATCACATATGGTGTTTGGAGCATGTTCAATGCTCTTCAGAGTGTCATGGGTGATGACAACTTTACTAAAAAACTTGTCTCCTAGTTTGCGTGTGAGTTGGGTGTATCTTTGGAGATCTTGCAATGTCATCCTCTTGAGGGCCTTACATTTGTCTTGGGAGTGCATGGGAGATGATGTTGAGGTGGTAGGTGGGCTGAGGCCATGTTGATGTATCAAAAAGTGGAGAATTTAAATTGAGTTGTGTGTTGAAGGACCAGCTATTGGTTGATGCGTGCTGTGAAAAAGCAATTGAAAAGATGGTGAGTGATGTGTTGCAAGAGTACATCAGGTGTGAAGGAGCACATCCATTGAAACAGTTATGGGAGTTTAGAAAGGGGGGTACAGGTTTGGCAGGACAAAAAGTTGGAGATGGATGTGGCCCCAAGTGTTGGCCAGGTTTGCTGCCTGTGTATATCTGCTTAGAAAACCTCAAGAGCTGAGAGTGATTGTGGCATAGGGGAGCAATAGAGGCTTGGAACACATTGATTGTGTGGAGGAAGAAACAGAAGGGGTTGGGGAACCCTTAACAACAACTTGTCCAAGACTGTTGAATTTACTAACTCAACCCAAGTCTGATTGTGCAAAAGCTCATGGTAACCCAAAGCCAAGGCACAAGGGACTTGCACATTGAACAACATCTCTGGTGTGACCAATAGCCCCCAAAAGTGAAATTTGGGTCACTTTTGGATACAATCCATCCTAACTCATTCAATATTACTTTGATCCTATTTCTGAAACTGGCTGGTATGAGTTCAGCATCTTGTACATAACTTCTGTCATAAAAAAGGGGATCAAAATGTGCCAGCTCACAAGAATACAGCTGGGAAACGAGTAACAAGTTTGTTCAAAGACATTACAGGGAGTTAATTGACCATCTCTCAAGCCTTTCTGAGGGTACACATAACAATCTTAGGGTTTGAAATTTCAAATCCAAAAATAAGGAGCCTCAATGAATCAACACAATCATGAGCACTCTCAAGATTCTGAAGAGGCCATTTCCTTCAGAAATCAATAGAGCTCATCTGACTCTTTTTTTGGAACAAACGGACTTGTGACTTGTGGTGAAAAAGTGAAGTGAAAAAACACCCACCAAAAGGAGCCTATTAGTTATGCAACAATTGACATTTAATGTGCAAGCCCCCTGTGCCAGGGGTTGACGGGTCCAAGAAAAATCACCTGGCATAGCGGGCTTGTTGTTAAGCTAGTTTAATTTATCCTACATGTAAAAAATTCAGGACACCTTTTTTTCCCAAATGCTGTCAACCATATATTTGCAGAGAAAATACACTGTATAATTTTAAAAACTTGTCTGTTGTGTAAAAAGTTTACGCAAAATATCCCAACTTGAAACCCCCTATATTACAACCATGGAAATATTTTTACAGCAAAAATGTAAAAAGGTTTGTGTTGTTAACCTTTTTTTGTCACAAAAAGGGATCTGACACCCCCTATTAGGGGTGCTCAGGTCAAGAAAATTTTCAGCTTTGACTGCAAAAAAGAAATCCCAAATTCATAAATGTTTGCGTAAATTTTATGAATTTGATTTTTTTCTAACATCCCAAATTCTTATGAGCTACAGCAATGAGACAATATTTTTTATGCCAATTCATTAGGGGGTTTCAAGTCAAAAAACTTTACGGTATTTTGCAGTACAACAAGTTGTCCAAGACCATAAAATTTCAAAATTTCACATAAATTCCAAAAATTTGGGACACCTTTTTAGGTGTCCCAAATGCTGTTGACTGTATATTTTCAGAAAAAAAACTGTAAAATTTTGAAAACTTGTCACAAAGATATCCTGCCTTGAAACCCCCTATTGTAACAAGTTTTCCCGTTGTGTTGGGAGATCCAAAATTAGGGGGTTTCAAGTCAAAAATTTTACGGTATCTTACAGTACAACAAGTTGTCCAAAACCATAAGATTTCACGTAAATTCCAAAAATTTGGGACACCTAAAAAGGTGTCCCGAATGATGTTGACCATATATTTTCAGAAAAAAACACCGTAAAATTTTGAAAACTTGTCCGTTTCATAAAAAAATTCACAAAAATATCTTGACTTGAAACCCCCTATTGTAAACTACATACAATTGTTTTATACCTTCATTACAAAGACCCAAAGAATGATGAACCAAAAGATATATTTTAGATGAACGGCGCAAAGACACTAACACTAAGTCCTTATCTAACGAGTTCCTAGAGTGACTTACTCGAGTCATGAAACGACAACACAAATATCGTTTAACACTTTGGAAAAGCTAGGCAATGGTACCTTTTTTAGTTGATTTATAGTAACCAAAATAAATGCCACGTTTATCAGAGCTGGGGACAAGGGAAACACAAAATCGAGTCTAATATCGGGCCTTCAGAGCTTATATTTCAGCCATACAGATATAATAAATGGTAGACTGCTTTCCTTTGTACAGCAGATGTAAGATTAAGGTAGAACCCATTTCCAGTGAGCAAAGTCTATACGGTCTCCTCTTTTGTGAAATGCTTTGTTAGGAAAGTGTGACACGATGTGTTTTGCTTGGGTAGCACCTCGCTGTATACTGGCGGATATTTGTTTGTACAAGACTTTGATTTATATGAAAGTGGGCTCTCATGATTCAAAGCAGTTACGCAAAAATACCCTAAGCATTAATTTCAAATGATAATGATGAGAGATAGCAGAAAAGACCAATATGATTCCCAGAAATAATTGTGAGACAGAACACCGATAAGGAGTGCAATTGTAATTAAGCAACCATCATACAAGATGGCTATAGGACAAACAGAACACAGACTGTTGAAGTAAGGGAATTAAGAGGTAAGTTAAAGATGGCTGTGTGCGGGTGAGAGACAGGCAAAAAGGATTAGAAATGCTTTGGGTGTTAATAGCAATTGATGATATTTAAGGAGGTTAGCTTACGTGTTGACAAATCCTTCATTGATTGGCAGTGTAAGAAGCAGCATCGGCCATAGGGTTCAATGTGGTGTGACTGGTATCATTTGCACCGAGCGAATTGATATTGATGCCCTTAGGCCCTTCGTTAGCAGAAATTGAACCTCCAAGAGCATCAGATCCGCCAACATTTGCAGTTGGAATGATTGTGCCATTCGGAGCGTGAGCACCAGCCGTGATCATCGAGCTATCACCCCCAAAACCAGTTTGAAATCCACGGCTAGATCCACCTTTCTCTTTGGCTGGTACAGTAGTAACGTTGACATCACCTGGACCTAATGGGTTGTGGATGGGTGGAAGGAGATTTCGAATTGGTTGAGGGATAGCGGCTGGAGCATAAAGAAGAGCTGGATTGGCGTTCGAGCCTTGGTTGCCCGTCACAGGGGGGCCGGTTTCACCGCTAGTATGGACAGCACCAATCATGGGGCCGTTGTTGTAAGAACCAAGGGTTGTAAGTGCACCAGGAACAATGCCTCCGGAACCAAAGACGTTCCGCTGACTACCTAATTTGCTCAAGGTACTACCGATATCTTGACCAGCTGGACCGGTAGAGGCGAGACCATTGAAAACGCTATTGGCAAGTCCCGGGCTCCCATTGGCGCCGGGTGTTGCAAGAGCTTGAAGGCGTTGACCGAGATCTTGTAATTCGGAGGCATACTCGGCGAGGGGTCCCTGTGAGGCGATGTCACCAAGAGCTGCAGGAAGTTGAGCGTCGCGTTGCGCAGGGGCCTGGTAAGTAGAGGAACTTCCATCTCCCATCATTTGACCGTTCTCTCCCATCATTTGATTGTTTTCTCCCATCATTTGACCGTCGCTACCGTTGGGTGCGCCATCGTGAGCCTGGTTTGCAGGCATCCCAGAACCAGCTGAGTTAGAATTCTGATACGCTTGACGCTTCATGACCTTGGATGGTGAACGAGGACTTGGAGGAATAGATCGTGCTTCAGATACGGTGGCTAAACACATACGTGAGTCAGTTCAAGAACATTTGCTTGTGGTTCTAATGAAGTTTCAAAAAATACGTACCACCAATGACGACAGCACCTGCGGCAACGAAAGCAAGACGCATGTTAAGTATTTTTGATGGTGGAAAAGATGTATTATCTGGTGAAGTGGCTGAGCGAAGCAAAGATATTTGAAGATGAGATAATAGGATCGAGCCGGTAAGGATGATTAAGATGGGTCTGTCAAGCAACGGGGTTTGGGAGGAGTTGTGAATGAGCAGAATGAGCAGTGTGATGATTGGTGAGGATGACTAAGAAGGGATGTAGAACGGTCAATAGTGACTTCCTTTATAGCTCAATCCTCGATGCAGATTAAGGGAGAGGGTAGTAGAGGACAGATGGCGAGGTATGTTCGATTTCTGAATATGAGAGACGGCTGAATGCAAACCATCAAATTCTGCAAGACGCTCCCTCTACTATTCCAGTTCAAAACGCAATTATCTCGTAGACGCAGCACGGTTCAGCTGGTAGAACACGACACTTGGAAAGAATTCACAATTTTTATCACAACCGATGAACGAGGGACGATCCGGCTGAACTTTCCGCCATGTTTCGAGTGCTCCATGAGAACTGGTGAACGGTTATCAGACTTCGTCCAGGCCCATCGAGCTGGTAAAGATCGCAATCCCTGGACCTTTTGACGATAACAGCTCAACGCCTCCTAACCAGTCCTATATCCCAAAATATATCATTCGGATACTGTCTTGCACTGCGACATTGCCCGCCTGTTCCTATAGAGTTTTGCCTCCATCACTTGTTTACAAGTGTCTGCAAGGCCATAGCATTCAGACACGCTCGTTCACCGGAGGGTCTCCTTGGAACCTGACCGACCTTGCCAAATGTGGGTTCGATTTTGATGACAATATTTCATCAGAGTTAACCGGTCCCTCTGTGACGCGCAAATGCTCGCCATATTCCATACCGGGCGAAAGGTCCCCACAGTGACACCTAAGAATCGTAATCATTGGGTTCGGGATAAACCCTGGCCCCGCCGCTGCAGAACTTCAATGATTATGTAAATCACTTTAGAGGGGATCGTACAACATTTGGTCTTCCACTTATGAATGTACTAGAGACTATGCGGGCATGCCTGCACCAGTTCACTTCACAAGTTAGAGTTCCTAATTCTGTTGCAGACAAAATAACCTGAACTCTCCAACAAAATACACCACAGAGTTGATTTTGTTTATGACTCACCCAAAGCCTTAGTAGTCACTCAAGTATGAGTCTCAGACATCCTCAACTCCAAATAAAAACAAACTCAATATTGTATCATAATGTACAGGGAACAGAATTCCAAGATTATTACAACCACTTGCACCAGCAATGTTAATACATATAATCTTAAAACAGTCTTATAGTGATTCTAAGATATATTCCACATCTACCTCAATTGAAATTGTAAAAACCACACCCTAATTGTTTATTGCCTAAATTCAAATTGTATTGTCTCCAAAGACTGCTGATTTACAAACTTACACATATCAAGACACAATTTGCCCACAAGGTGTCATGATTGAACACCTTTGGGGAAAGAAGCCCCCATGTTAGAGGCAATGATGGAGAGGAGCTTTTGCAGTGTTATGCAAAGAAATGTATATTTAAGGATTCATAATGAAGGATAAAAATTGGGAGTACTCAGGACACTTGAGATTAGTACTGGTAAAAAGACACAGCACATTAGGACTTCAATCAAAGCATGGCACCATAGAGAGTTTAATGCAGAAATGGGAAACTGTGCCAAAAATCAAATATGGAAAAGATGAATATGTCAAGCTTGAAGGCTGGACAAGGGGTATAGCTTCACAAATTCACTCAATGTACCACAATCAACAGCACCGGTGATCAAAAGTGAGATGCTTTACAGAGACAAACAAAAGACGTGCAAGTCACAATTCACATACAGGTAGGAGGAAGGTATGTAAGTATTTTGAATTGGCACAGATCCACAGACAAAACAAAAGTACAACAGTTAGGGGATACAAAGTTGAATCTGGCCACACATCTGGATCTTTGGTCAGATTTCATTTGGCTGTAAATTTGGATTTTCTGGCCAAAAATCTGGCCGCGTGGCCAGATTCAACTTTGTATACCTTAAGTGTTGATATGAAGGCAGGAAAGGAGATGCAATCGCATTAACAGGGGCCAACGGTTGAGTGATAATGTATATTGAAAGGAATAAAAAGAAATTGGTTAGATAAAGTTGATTGAAATGTGGTGAGCTAGCAGGAGCAGGTGTGTATAATTTTGGATGAAACACACTGAGCTGTGAGGTGGTAGATCATTTATGTGGTGTGGGAGGGGAATTGATTCTCAGTAGGAAATAGTATTGGCTCTTTTATAACCTAAAATGGGGCTCAAATGTAAGAAAGGACCAAGTATTGTTAGTGTAATAAAAAAAGTTGCAATAGCCAACAATGATATCACCCAGCAAAAGATAACAATTGTGTAGCAAACTAGGGGAAAATAAATCAATAGCATGGATCAGAATGGGACTTCACATTGACTACACTTTGTAAACTATTGTTAAAAAGCTCTTGATGATGTTGTACATACAATTACGGTACTCAAAGTTGTGTATACTTTGCTGTGCATAGTTTTGTTTTCTTTTTTCACAAATTCACACAACCAGGGAAAACTATGTTTTTGGCTTAAAATTACATATCTTTGAGCTTCAATCAAGAAACATACTTTTTCCAAGTTGTTTGTAGTTGCTAAAAAAACACAAAAAAACTATGCACAGCAAAGTATACACAACTTTGAGTACCATTAATGGACACATTCATGAAGATGGAGGTAACAAAGACTTGTCTATAAAAGCCGCATGGAAATCCCATTGGTAAACACCAAAAAAAGATGAGCACAAGTCATGAAATGGTGTCAGTGGAAAGCAAAAGTATAATAAAAGGAGTAATCAACAATAGAAAGACTGGCAAATCTAACTGATGGTGTGTGGAATAAAAAGGGGAAATTATGTGGTATCCATGAGCAGACCTGATGGTGGATAAGAGTATGGACCAAAGCTCATGCAAGTGTCCATCTTTTTGGTTTTTGGATCCCCTGAGCGCAGGGGGCTGAACTAAGTAGTATTGGAGTTATGTGCTTCAGGGGGGTCCATGGAGAAGAGAAGTGCATAGCAAAAGGAATCCAAACAATAGCCATAATGAGATTGAAAATCCATCAAATTTTTTTCAAGAAACCAATCCTCAATCCTTATTGATTTGAATATGTACCCAACTGGGATTTTAAGATTCACGCCTTTCATGATATTTACAGTATGGCCAATCAATAGTCTAATTTAGTTTTTGAAAATTTTCTCTCTTACAGCCATTTTGTGATATGTTGAACATTGAGAAAAAATGAGAAAGTTCAAATTTAAAACGCAGCAAAAAATGTAATTTTGGTTTTCAGTGGGAACCTTTGAGGTTTAATCTTATTTAAGGTAGTAAAAAACTTTATAATGTTTTGCACTCCAACATATAATGAATTCATATTACATGTCTTCTTATTTTGGTGACAACACAACACTTCATGTCCTGCGTAAAGATGGTATGGCCAACATGATTCTTGGCATTGAAGCAATACCGTGTGTTGCGGAACCTGTGCCCTCCCCCAGACTGAAGCTACTGACACCATGTCAGTACCCTTGTAGCACATTGAGGTGCACACACGGAGAGTTTTGAGACAAAGTTAAAAGCCTTTTGGTTGCATTTAGACTGAGATTGTTGTTGATCCCCTTGTGTGAATGGACATTTGGTGATAGTATTTGCAGGATCCTTTGTCAGAAGCTGGGGTCAACTTAGTGTCAATGTCTCAATTGACAAGGGGAAGACATACCTGTTGTGAAGACATCTTTAAAGGGTCTTTTGTGTGTGCACACAGATGTGCTAAAATGCTACAGACATGGTGTGATGTGGAAACTGAACATATCTATGACTTCCTTCATATGTTTAAGACAAGGCTGCAATGTATTGCAAGTTTCAGAACAACTTGGACTTTGAGATTGCTACTGGCATCTTCAAAGACTTGCGTCAACTACATGCTTTTTGAATCTATTGCCTTTGCTCACCTTCAAGTCCAATCTGAAATGACTGTTAATTCATAAACACCCAATAACATGTCAAGTGTTTGAAACAAAGGTTGAGAATCAAAATCAAGTAGAAAAGTGACAACTTTTACATATCTCTGGATTACAAGAGACAAAATATTCCCGGAATATTCTGCCATCCACAGCAATGATCAGAGTTCATACAGGTTGAAATATGTCTTTCCAAGCATCAGGTAGATTGCATCAGTTGTGCTGAGGGGCTGAATCGTATTTTCAAGTGAATTGCAGAGCTCCACACATTTGTTATGATCCATTACATAGGATCATGGAGCTGTCACGATGTGTGACATGTGAGACATGCCAGCCGCGCTCCCATAGAGCAGAGCTTTTCACTCGCATTGTTCTCTATGCTACAATAACAATACTACGTAGTCATTACCCTCCTCTCGCTATCTGTCCCCCTCCAAGAGACCAACCCCGGTCATAACATATTGTAACATCTAACCTGCGACAGATCAAGAGGAAAAGAAGATTACAAGAAAGACGAAATAAAGAAAGAAAGAAGAACTCAAGAAGAAATTTTTTAGACAGGAACATTAAAGAAAAGAAGAAACTAAAATTATAAGAAGAAAGAAAGAATAGATCATTTAAGAATATTGAAAGACACCTTTAGAAGAAGACAACCCTCCACAATCAACCATCACGCCTTCCTTTCGACTCCCGCAAGACGACCTTACGTTGGCAGAAGACGACACGTGGCACGAAGTCCTAGTTGAAGAGCCTGATTCAGCATTGATGGCAACCGCAGAGGAAGTCGCAAACCTAGTTCGACAGATGGCCGATCTTAACACACGACTTACCGAAGAGACGGCCCTTTGGCAAGCTGCCAAAGCCCGTTGGGCTGAGGCTGAAGCATCTTGTGCAGCACCCCCGGCTGCTGCTACCACCACTACCGCTCCTCCGTCTGCTCAACTGACCCCAACCACTAACCATGCACCTGCCGTCGGCGACACCCGT